ATGGAGCTGTAATGTGCTCGCCTCCTAACCCGGCCTGACAGCCATGATGTACGACTACCATTACCGGAAAATATCACTTCAACTAACCCGTGATCCAGCTCCGCTAAGGGTCATATTATCCATGAGGAACAAATTACACTCCCCCAAAGTAAATACAAATTTCCTACACTGACTGGGTACAAAGAACGGAAGGGGGAGGGGGCGGGCGGGAACGTTACCTATGACAACGCTCTGCAGAGTGACAAGGATGATAAAGTACATGACAAATCACTGGCTGACAGGGTACTCTAGTGCAATCAGCCTCAGCCTCGGCCTGGCGAGCACCCACTCAAGCCTGTAAACACTACTCTCTTCCTTTGGAGGGGGCAAAACACATAATCTTTTAACGCCGACAAGTTGCTCTCCTTTTTATTACTCATCCTTCCCACTGCGGAGGAGAGATGGAGGGTTGGGAGGGGGGAGGGGTATAAAATGGTTTTATGTACAGTGCTGCAGAGTGATTGAGAAACTCGACTCTGCTGCTGTAATTGCCTGAGGGCAAACACAGCGAAACAATAAAGGAAGAGAAACAGCAAATATATTACCAGTTCAGATCTTTATTTTATGTCAAGGACAAACAGGTTCTCTCGGCTGCTTTAAAGCACCCATTTAGATCCCTCGCCTCCAATAAGAGCAAAGCACAGCAAATTACAGCACACCGTTGCATGGACATTAATAAGACGCAAAGCATTTTCAAATGGCATTTACAGCTTGTGGCTGCTGATAGAGCGAGTAAATAACACTTAGGAAAGGTGTGGTCTCTATAAAAGAAAGCCCAGCGGCAAGGGGGAGAGGAATATAAAAGCGACAAGAGTGATAAAGTCATGCAGATTACAGCTGGGAGTCTTCACAAAAAGCCTAAGTAACACCCCTGATGAACAGTTAACTGCAGAAAGCACTTGAGCACTAGCAGATATTCACACTAAACTGTTTGACTGGCAGTTTCAAGGTGCCACTTACTATCAAAAAATCACTTAAGCATTAAGCAAGTCCAGACAGAGTGAGTGCCGAGCCTTGACAATATCACAATGGTGACTAAGACTAGGCACAGACATTTGCCACTGTAAGATTAAAATCAGAGAAGATAAATGTTTAGAGAATGTTTCACTGCATATATTTATGCAAAGAAAAACATAAACTTAAAGAGGCAGGGTTGATTTATGAAGTATTTAGAGCTCGTGATCATACACCATCTTGAGTATAAGGGGATGTTGCACAGCCCCCCTAAAAGCTCTCAGATGGTGGAAAACCTGTTGGTCCTAACTACTCCATGAAACAAGGCATTTGGACTTTGCGTAGAGTGTGGAGATGATGAGACAAAGAGCACACTTTGATGACTGTCTGGGTTTCAGGAGTGGAAGATGGGGCCAAGCAACACGGCAGCGACAGACAAACAATCCTCGCCAGCAGAAGCTTTGAGAAGTATTTGGAGCATGCCAATCAAGAGACCACATGACTCTTAAAATGCCAGGAGATATATATATAATATGTCTTGTATTTATTGCTACAGGTGTTTAATCAATACGCTGTTATCCAAGATTTTGATTCCAAATTGAAGTCACATGTTACCGGTCAAGAACTAACTTTCTCGAATATTGAAACACCACATTATGGCAGCAATTAAATGCTTTATCTTGCAATGGTAAATAGCAAGAACAATCATTTGGTTATCCACTCTGTGACTTGGAACCACTCCAAAAATGTACTGGGTTCTTCCTAAGCCCACGCTACACCCTAAAACCAAGTTTTATGACGAGTGGGAGAGTAGTTCTTTTGATAAATCATCTGACAAACCGAGCCGAAAACATGACCTCCGTGATAGAAGTAATGAAAGGAGCTCTAAGTACTCAGCACAAATGCATGACTTCACTGTGAGTTGTTGTGTAGATTAGGGACCAGACATGTGTAGATATGCATGTAGACACACTATAGGCAACATGAAATTATTAAGTATATATTTAACATGCATGCAAGTTTTTCTGTTAAATTGATGACACTTAGTGTTTCCGTTCTCACTATCTGAGTTCTGATTGGATGCTTGATTCTGGCAAGGCAAGGTAGAGCCTTTACTTGCTAATGGGGGCCTAAGCAGAGATGCTAATAATAACGCGTATAGAGCTAATAATACCAGTGTTGTGTGACGAGTGACTGCAGTGAGCCTGCCTCCTACCTGTCTCCCACTATGTCATTAACATGTCATGTTGGAGAGGGCCCGTCCTACAGGTCACTTTATAATGAGCAAAGGCTCTGACAGTTTCCACACACGAACACGCGAGCAGGATTGTGTGCACACACTCTGAGATGCGAATAGCTGTCTCTTATCGGAGGCTGGCAGCTCCCGCCGACACGGCAGAGGCCTACACTAGGCAGAACATGATTTCTCCCGGGAACACTTTTTCCATTTCCTGCTTTTGAAGGGAAACTAAATAAGCCACGTTTGTCCTCATCTGAATACATTTGACCCATTAAAGCGACTCTGCTCTCCCCCGTCCTTCTGTAAAGTAGACCGTGTCGCCCACAGAATGCAAATGACAACAGTGGCAGTGAGCGTATGCGTGCCCGGCGCCTGGCAGGTGCAGATAGTGGCAGAGGTGACGTGGACTGCGGAGGGAGAAAAAGTGTTGAGCGGGAGCTCCAATTACTCCCTCACATTGAGGAAGAACACACGAGTCAGCCCCTGTCATAGGGGTCCCCTATTTACTAATTCACTCCTCTGTTACTTTAACACACAATTAATCAATGACAGGAAGGTGTAGTCGGCGCTGTTCATCAGGAGCGTAACGTGAGCCAGGCTGAATTAATACAGTCACTTGGGGGAATACAGCTAACCATGCTCTCTCTCCTTCTCTTCCTGGAACAAAAAGGAATTGCCACCGAGACAGGAGCAATTTAAATCGACAACACTGAGTAATGACTCAATTTGCTGCACAGTCTAAACACCACAAGCAAATGGCATTACTAAATCATTAGAGTGGATCTCGATCTCTCGTTGGAAGTCATTGGATTATATGGCTGCTCTTTGAATCTATGAGGTAGGCCTAAACTGTTATTACCTTGATATTGGTAATGGAGAAACTGTGAATATATAAAAAACATACAAGCACTTAGTGTCTATTATAATCTATAAAATATTGACCAAATGTGGCAACCATTATTCAAAACAATGTAGGTATACCTTACGCCATGATGTTTTAGTGGACATAAAACATATTTGGGTGAATCAGGCTGAACTCCACATCTTAAAGAGACTGTTGAAAATAATGAATAATGGAGCATACAAAAATAGACACAAATGAAGACCCCACTTCCATAAACTAAAGGGTTAAGCAATAACAAGTGTTTGTAAAAAAGGGAGTGTGCTTTTACAGTGAAGAGTTAACACATACCAATATACAGTATGTGACACTATAACCGTCCCCAGGGGCCACCATCAGCCTTATGCAGACACATTTCCTGCACAGATCATGCTCAAGAGTGCAAGAAACCTCTTGAGTTTTATGATCGTTCCCAAACGCCACCCTGAAGCAAAACCTTTGCTAGTCCAACATAGAAATTGATCTGATTGCTTCTATTGACATCTTGAACACTTTTAACCTGTAGAACTTGGTTGTCTGTGACCTATTGTGTTTCCCTGCATTTATTGATTTTTCCCGGTAAAATTGTTCTAAAAAAAGAGTAACCAGAATGATTAACCTTAAAGCAAATATACGACGGTATTACATCAAAGGAACAAGCTATATATCTTGATAGTAGGAGGTGTTATTAGCAATAAAGGGAACGTGTAATTCTAATTAGGAAGAGTGTGTCTCGAGGAACAGACAGGCAGGAAGGTCAAATAATAAATAGAGGGATAGATGTGGATGAAGATATACTAACACAAACACTGTACTTAATACTTTGATATGGGGTATAGAGTTTAGGCAAAGATACAGCGTGTACCCAAGCTGTCACAGCAGTCTCATTTAAATGTGATCTAAATCCTAAAAATCCAGAACAGTTCGATTTAGATTTTTCACATCATTAAGTCATTTATAATTAATGCGCAGCTAATTAAGGCTTTCTCATACTTATTAACAGGATGTTTAATTCTAATTACATTACATTCTCAGCCCTTAAAGGGCCCATGTCATGCTTTTCCGGTTATTACCCGTCCCCTTGTGTGTTATGAAGGTTTGTCTGCATGTAAACGGTCTGCAGAGTCACAAACCCTCAAAGTACACCCTGTAGCGAGTAAAACTCTAACACAGAAAATACCTGTCTATGCTGCCCCAGAACGCCTCGTTGGAGATTTTTCATTTTCCATTGTTTGCTTCCTGGGTTCTGTGACGTGTGAACACCCAAATCAACAACAAATGGACCAATCCGCGGAGCACCTCACACACCAGGATCCCTTGGCTGGTAAACGCTGGTAATAGACGAGTTGGGATCGCGGGGAAATGCTCTCCGCAGACCCATTCTCACAGCATTATAAACCTTTTTCTTACTCAATATCAAGCCACACTTATTGTTTTTACTTCGGCTGTGAGTGTTTGTGTGTGCTCAGGATGAGTTTCGCTTGTTCTCGCTGTATCGCCGACCCGGAAACCTGTCCGCTCCTCGCAGCAGCTCGCAGCAGCTCGCAGCAGCGGCGAGCAGCAACGAGCAGCAATGAGCCTCGCAACGAGCCTCGCAACGAGCCTCGCAACGAGCCTCGCAACGAGCCTCGCAATACCTGGTGAATACACATACTATACAGAGATGCTGTATGAGAAACCAATGTGAGTTTGGAAAATTGCACAATGTAAATCTATTCTAGTAGACCTCAACAATGGAAATATGATCAGTAGAAATGGCCAAAACATGGGACCTTTAAGAAATTATTATATGTGCATCTTATTGAAACCACATACTGTAAAGGACGTCTGAAATGATCGAGGCACATTCAATAGCACATTACAAATCCCAGTGAAGGGCAGACTTACCTTGTCGTCTTGGTCACTCTCGGTGTCACACTGCAAAAGAAAGAGAAAGGCAAAGCTGAAAATATGTCTACATTCTTATATTATTACAGACCCTGCTTGGACTGTATCAGTTTCAATCCCAGAGTATATTTTAATTCACTTTTGCAAATGTATGCATATCTTATCAGCACTTTAATGCCAAACTTATCACATACTCATACTCAGTGGCTGAATATCATCAGATCACTTCATTAGCTGACACAAGCACGGGAATGGGAAAAAAAGCTAATTTCTCACGAGCAGCCGTGCCCTTGTTAACATTGAAACCTATGTGAAATTCGGAATCTCAAAACACGAACCGCCACCAGAATTATAATTCCATGATGTGTGTTCCTGCTTGAGGCTGGGAATAGAGAAATGACAAGTAGAGGAAGGAAACTTTGTAATGGAGGGAGGAAAAAAGTGGTTGGATTTCATTTTTCTTTCCATTTCAATTTCAAGGTCCACTTAATTCTTTATCAACTAATTAGTGTGATGCTGGGTGACTGGCGGCCCTCAACGTTGTGCATATGGCTGAGGTGCAGAGAAGCACTGGAGTCGGTAATGAAGAAGGCACTGGGGGGGAATATGGGCAGGGGTTGGCACAGTGTGTGTATGTGTGTAGGCGGGGGGGACAGGGAGTGCAGGGAGGGGATGGTGGGTGTCGATTAAAGTAGGGAGGGAGTGAGTAAAGGGGGTGAAATGATTGACAGCTCAGGGATTGAGCGACAGAAGGCCCTGCCATTTCTCTTTTTTTTCTTCCATCTCTTGTTTTTTGCTGATCTGGGACCCTGCAGAGCTCAAAGGTAGCTGGCTGGGATCGTGGCTGGTCTGTTTCTGTGGCTGGATGGTGAAAAAGGGGCCTTGCGAGCTCAGCAGGAGCATAGCATCCAATTTACAGGCCTGTCCCACATGGCCCCAGGGGCCGCCCGCGGCACACTGCCATGATGGTCAGCTCCAGCAGCTCATAAATTATGCAGAGGCAATAAACGCACTGGGCAAACACTCCTCAGACGTTTTCCTGCTCTCAATTTCTCCCTCACTCTCTTTCTCCACAACCCACAACCTTCCATCCCCCATTTTAATACAGTGTGCAGAGATCCAGTCACCCCATAGATTGCCAGGTAGAAGAGTAAATAACGACAATGAAAGATAGCAGATTCTGATTACATGTGAATGTTGGTGTAATACAGAAAGCTACACACCAAGTATATTTTTGCACATCTATTCTAGCTTGTAAATAAATAGGCGTGTTGGCCATTTATCCTTTTTTTCGTCCTGCTGCAGAGGACTGACTAATGCAACAGCAGACAGGATCTGATGAGCATTAGCCGTCTCAACTGCTTCTATGTATTCAGGCCTCTCAAAACGTTACAACAGTAATGCGACCGAGCACTCATTAGCTGCTGCTCTGCCTGTGCACACTACACACCCGGGAACACAGGCATGCGAGGGGTTCCAATAATGGACATCATTTGAGTTTTTCCACTGTGTTGTGATCCATAAAAAAAACTCTACCAGCCTTTCTTTCTTGTGTTCCCTTTCTTTTCCACTCTCCCTCCTTTCGCTGTTCGCTGGCTGTGCAGCCAATTGCTTTGATTGCCAAGATAGAAGCCGGCTGGAATGACTTGCCCTTGCTTGTGAAGCAAATGGAACATGCTAATGGAACTCATCGTATTACCCGATGCAAAAGTGCCATAGCTCATTACTTTAAGATAAAAGGATATCATTGTAGACGGCAAGCAGAATTGACTTTCTGTGCTGCGACTTGATGATGATTTAATCAACTGCTCTCTTTCACTTCTCATCTCTGCGCCTGTCGCTTTCGCAGGTGCCACTAAACGAAGCACTCACACGGCTAGTGGTGGAGAGAAAAGAAAAGAAATTGCTGTCATTATTTTTTTTCCCTAGGAATAGAGGTATGCAAATTTCCAAGAGCGACAAAGGGTGAAAAAAAGGGACAACTTAATAAAATGGAAATACCTTTATAATGAGCAAAGTAACAATTCCTGAGATCAGACCTGACAGACAAGGGCAGGCAATTTGATCGTCCTTACGCCGAGCTCCCTTGAACTCACCGCTTGAGTATAGAGATGAAAGTAACAAATAATAACATCTCTAAAAGATAAAAAAACACATCTCAGGCATATAAACAAGTCGAAGCTGTCACTCACTGATAAGTGATCATAGTGAACTAATGCGTTGCCTCATGCATAAAGCAACCAGAGGCGGGGGAGAAGAATCCCTGCATATCTGGAATCGTTGCGCTTGTATTTCCACTTACTGACTGTTCCATTAGAAACAGAGACGGAAAGCTAAAAAGTCTCGGCTTTGCATGGAAACGACATGAATGATTGCAACACCTCATCATTAATAACTGAGGCATGGTAGTGTTTTTGGAGGTAAGCATGAGCTCAACAATTCTGTTATTGCTACTGACGGCTGAGTATATAAATCTGCAGAGCTATGGTTAACTGTAATGTCAAAAACACTTTTTACCAATCCTGCGAGGCCATGTCTAATGAAAAGACATATGTCAAAGATTTCAAATGAAATAGATTATACAGAAGAGATGAAAAACACAACAACAATAGTGCTATTGATATCAGTGGTGTTAGCTCTCTGACAGGCGGTAGGAAATGGGTCTTATTTAAAGCAACATTCATGTACAATAAGGAAACCATTAGTCCTGGGAGGGGGCAGACAAAGAAAAGTGATACTCTACCCAGACCCACTGCTATTTACACAGGGCCAGCATTATACTGTACAGCTAGACCCCAGTGTTAGGTTTAAGTAACGCAGGAATGTCAAACATTAGCGTCAGCTCTAAGAGCTGTTGATGTTGGCCTGTATCCGGAGCACTTCTGATTGCCCAAGCTCTCACGCGGGCCTCTCTTTTGGCTGAGTGCACTTACACATTTCCCTACGCTCTATCCAAGCATTGAGCCTTTTGTTTATATTGGTCTGAAAGTAGGAGTAAATTATTCTTGTCCTAAATCCTCTCCAGCTGAGAGTAATAGTGGCCCGATACAAGAGGAGCATAAGGAGCCATGGGCCGAATTCGAAATGATGCAGCTATGCTATTGTCCATAACAGCAGGGCTCACCAAAAGTATTTTGGCTAGAGCTGCCCGCAGAAAAGCGTCTGTACTAAAGAGGTAACCACATCACAGAGGGATGCGTGCAATGCTGGTACGCCATGTTCCCTTTTTTAACATAACCTTCTGGAAATCCACTGGTTCACAATTACTAACAGATGTTAAGTCAATTAAGAACACAAATGACTTAACGGATCATTCTGAAGGCAAACAGTGTGTTTAACTGGCTTATTATAGTTTGGCTTCCCCCGTCTTAAATGTCGTCTCTAATCTAATAATTTCTAAAATGGAATCTATCTATAACTGTAACGGATGCGTATTGTCGCCCCCATGAGTGAGGTTAGCCTCAGGTTATCGTGGTTGCCATCCATGACCTTAGAATTAATTATGGTTGATATGGGCTTCATTAAAGCGCCCCGTTGCACAGAGGGAGGTGTCTGTTTATCAGCCTGAGCCAGGTTGTCCTGCAGGATGGCTGAGGGGGTTAAAGCCAAGGGAAGAAGCCAAGCTGCCTGCATGCCCGGGAGCTGGAAAGACAGCATGAAGGATGGCCGTCATTGCCAGGGTCAGCCATGACAGTGCCGATTTGATGTGCTGTTGTCGAGGGCTCCTCGTTCCCTCCTCCTAACAGCTCCTTCCTGATATAGCTGCGCGCCCTGATGGTTTTTTGCAGCAAACAGTCACATGGCAAAATGGTTTTCCCCCCCTCCCGCGGCATCCTCCTCCATCTGCTGCTGGGGCCTTGGTGCCGCCGACCGCCTGCCTGTCACAGCGTGCGTGGAAATTAGCTGGGGAGGAGGTGCTCGCTTGTGCTAATTACATTTTAATCATTGGAAATGTGTTGGCAAATCAAGCCTTGATTGCCATCTTGGAGCCCAGTGCTTCTCTCTGCAGGTTGAGGGGGGGTGGGGGTTTGTGGGGCTAGAATATGACTGAGCCCAGACTCTCCAAGCTGGTCGCCTCACTCTCCACCACGGCTTGATATGGCGGCATGCCTGGCCTACCGCTGGGTAGAGGCTGTGCCGCATTATTCATGGGGAATAGAGGAAGAGCAGCATGGAGAAATGGGGATCTGTGCCATGCTTATTCTCAAATCCCCCACTCACACCTCCCGTATCCCTCTCCCTTTCTCACCCACACATTACACAGTCTGCCAGTCCCGCCACTGTGAATTGAGGAACAACAAATAGAGCCGGGCAGGAGGAGACTGATGAGCTCAGGGTTTGCTACACAGCACCTGCTTTGGCACACAGAGCTGGAGCAGCAGGCCCCGTATACAATAAACTCACATAAAACTTTCTTATAAAACAGAAACAAAAATAGACACGACTTGGCTACATTAAATCAAGACTTTTATAGGAAAAATAGGCAATGATATGGTTCAGTTTGTTGAATGGAAACACCAACATGCCCGTTGTTTTCAACTTAGCTTCATGTACTGTAGATCATTCACCCATTGTCACTGGTGAAATTAATAATGATCCCCTCTTGAAAGACTTTCGGAAAAAAAATAGCTTTTCCTTTGTCCACTGCCACATGACAGACTGGCACTTTTTTTGAGTTCATTATGACTGTGAATCAAACACACACATGCCCAACTGTCACAATGCTCAAGTCACTTCAGACTGTAGTAAACATGAAATAAACTAGATATAATTCCAGCAGACACATGTTTTTATAAAAAGATATTCATTCAAATCAGTTGAGTAAATACACCTAAAGTCCATGCGGTGGAAGGAAATTCAACATGACATGCCTGACTGGGACAGATCATTAAAATAAGCAGGATTCTGAGGCGATGACATCGAACATCTCATTTCCACAGCGTCTGCTTGATGTCAAACTGTCATATAAAAGTGTGGTTGGAAAGAGAAGACCTCAAAAAAATCCCTAGGAAAAGAAAGCAGCACAGCTT